TTATCTGTTTAGATTAACATTGAAACGCTGCACAATGCTTTCAAGAATAAGAAGCCGATTACATTCTAAGACATAATTTATAATTTATTCATGTAATTCCGAATTCAAAAATTCAAGTACATATTAAATAAATAAGAGAACATAAAAAGAGTTTAATATATTTTTTTATTATTAAAAATTACTTCCATTTGCCAAATTAGAATATTTCCAGTTTTTAATAATAACTTACGATTTTAGATGAGATATGTCCCTTAAATCAGTTGTTTTAAAATTCGTTTCTAATTCTTATGGATTATTGTACTAATCCACACTGAAGAGCTAACACAGCTGAGACTACTTCTTTTACGTCGAAAGTGACAAATGTTATGTCACTAAAACGGGATGTGTTTTTACACCCGCTATTTAGTTAGATCAAACTATTATTTCGTGTAATAGAGACTTCAAAGAAGCGTATGTGCATGTAAATTAAATTGCATTGAAAAAAATAATTAAAGGATCTTTTAATAGGATCTATTAAAACATGAAGAAAATTAAGTATATTAAGTATATTAAATAAGGAACAAAAAAATATGTATGTAATTCTATTAACATCCCCCCCCCCACACACACACACACACACACACACACACACACACACACACACACATTTCTTGCACATACTTATTCGCAAATATAACATTTTTAAAAATATGTTAATCATTAATATCAGTGCGCTTTTGTATTCACACATTTGAGATATGATATACACTGAACATCAGAGATCATTTTTGAGATTCACCCTTAGACACGATCATAGGCCACCGATACACCGCTAGAGTAAAAAAACCTGTCCGTTCCAATCAGGATTAGACCGATCGTAATGGGATGAGGTTTCACGCTGAATTGAGATCGGCACAGTTTTAAAAAGCCACCCACCCTCTTTAACTAAGCCCTCGCGGGTGAGGGGTAGAATCGGAGTGAGACAAGGGGACATATTGTATTGGATTAAATTAAGCAGGGGGACTGCTTTCTCGTACTGTGCATTATATGCACAAAAATTGTGTGCCAAGTGAATCGTGTTTTTCGAGGAGAGGAAGAGGAGACGGTCTACCACATGCTGAACGAAGAGGGGTAAGAGTTGTCCAATGCACCAGGACTGGTATACCACGAGGGCTCCGACATTATTTTGTCATGTGACCCGTGTCATCTGCACCTTCACGTGATTTTTTCTCGCTGCGAATACGACACGTGCAAATTTAAGAACACCTACTGTAAAAATATGAGTCAACATAATTTTTCGAACAAGACATATTTTTCTTTTCTAATTTACGGTTTTTACATCAATATGCGATACATATCTTTAAAATTTATTATATCTTTGTGTAATTCTATATTTTATAAAAATATAAAATAACCGCTGGCTATTGGCTTGAGTGAAAACGAGACACTATTGTATTTTAATATTTACCCATGGACAATCATGTGAATTGGATTGACTCTTAAAATCAAGTAAATAGTTCCTAATGGTTAAATACTGCCTCAAACGCGGGGCGCGTGATCGGGATGGAGAATATCTGTGGGGTATTCGGTGGTCACGTGTCGTGTTACATGCACTCTGCGGGACACGAGCAATATGTCGATGTGGCACGTGAACAGCGGAAGTGCACTTTGACTTCTCTTGCATGGAATGTAATGTAGAAAAATTTGCAAAGTTTTTTAAAAATAAATCAATTACATTAATTTAAATTACTAAAATAAAAATGTTCTCCGTATATAAAATTTTTTATAAGAATTAGATATACAAAATTAGATATACTTATTATATTTAATTATCATTAATTTATAAGTATAGTAATTGTTAATAAGTCGTGATTGTAATAATTGTTCCAGCACATTTTCATTTCAAAATATAATATAAATTCAATATAATTCAATATAAATAAAACGAAAATATTAAATTGAATTTAAAAATACTATAGAAGACAATTCTTGATAATCTTTAGATAACTGTTGTTTATCTGGCTAAATTCGCTAAATTATTCAGCCTAGCTAGCGCGATTCGCAGAGAATATTAATAATACATAAGCCACAGTCTCGTTGGAAGCAGCATTAGACTTTTGACACTTGCAGAACCGAGACGAATCATCTTTATGACCACCTCCCGCAAAAGATCATAATTCAGAATGCAGTAAAGGGACACAGAACAATGAAATTGGTTCCGTCTCCCCGTGGCAAAAGATTCCAAGTGCACGCACATCTCCCATTAGCGACATTGCGTTTACGTACTTTCATGCAAATGTATGCAAAATGTATTTATCGATAACGATGATATAATATAGAAAGTTCATAATATTAATACATTATATCAATTTGCTATATTTCATGGATTACGAAATAATATAATTTTTTTTTTAAATTTCAATATTTATTTGCGAAAGAAATATACGTATCGCTGAGTACTATTCAAAGTTGAATATCAAATAATAATAATAATAATAATCACATAATAATTATAATAATATAATTCAAGGAATCTGTATTGTATAATATTAATAATGTTATTTATTATTAAAAATATATCATCCCCAAAAAATATTATATATTCATAATTGATTACTTTCTAAAATTAATTCTGTTTCTCTTTATCAGAATCTTTTCTATGTTTAATATATAAAAAGAAATGTCCTAGTTAGAACTGAACAGTATGTATCTTTGAGTACAAGGCCAAAATGCACTTGCAGTCTCCTCGTGTATCGTCACACCGGGTGCTTGGTGCACGGCTTGGTGCGCGAATACAAGATCGCGGAGGGGTGTTTCCGCGTAGGCTTATTTTGAACATCCCACCCATAAGGGTGCAGCGATAATACGTAGATGATAATCGCGATATTAATATCGCATTGGGAAGCGCACACATGCGTGCAAGGGGCCCATTGGTCACGGCGGAACACTTGCTCGCTTGCTGGCTCCGCGGTTTTTGTCTGAATTGCACCCTGATTTTAGAAAGAGACGATCAGAGGGAACGACCCTCCATTGCGAAGCGACAAACAAAATTTATCAGGAAACTGCGAGAAAGGTAAGTAGATAAATAATATTATTAATATTCTATATGATAATTTGTTTAAGAAATTATTGCAAGTTATAATTAATTTACTGAACTATATTAATTATTAAATTATTTTATACTTAGGTTAATTATTACATTGATAATAAAAAGATTCTAACAGAGATAAATATAATAAATATCAGAATATCAATAATGAATATTTCTTATGTAATCAAATTTCGTACTCTATATTTTCCTAAATAGCTATGCCTTTACTAGCAAGGTACACAAATCTTTCATACTTCTGTTTTCTGCTCACGAATCGTGCAGAGGAAACACTTGCCGTGTACATTTTAGGGCGCGATAAAATGGTGAAACACTCGTGCTCGAATTTCCAGCGATCAGGGAGGGGTTGGTACAAGGGATGGTGCGGCTTGTGAACACTCGTGTCATTCCCTGTTCCGACATCATACACGCGGATGAATCACGTCATTCATGAAAGAGGTATACAGCCTGAAGGAACCATGCCCCTTTTCTGGTTTCGAATCAGACTAGTAAGTTATGTGGAGCTTCGAAAGCACGTATCTTAAGAATTCACGAGCGATTATTAAATTAAATTTAAAATCGAGCGATTCATAAAGTGAAACTAAATACAAAATCAAATATATATATGTGTGTGTGTGTGTGTGTGTGTGTGTGTGTGTGTGTGTGTGTGTGTGTGTGTGTGTGTGTGTGTGTGTGTGTGTGTGTGTATTAAATTCGTTTTTATTCATTTTTTAAATAAAAAATTAATGCAAAATTTACTGCTTTGGGATTTGTAGCAATATTCAATTGTGCATATTCGATATTCTTAATCACATAAGTGATTAATCTTATCTCTAAAACGATAAATACATCGTGTTCGCGAAAAGCGTTTTGAGATGATCTATTGCGTATAAAAAAAAAGGAAGAAAGAAGGAGAGAGAGAGAGAGAGAGAGAGAGACATGAATTAACAAGATAGCACCGATTATTAGGTATATCAAGATCAACGGACGATTAGACAAATCCGAACGATATCGCGCCTACGCGATCAACGGCTCGGACCACCGAGAAGAATAAGCCACTTAATTTCCTAATCAACCGTTGATTCAGATGCACCTTTCGGTCGATCCCTCGCATTGGTAGTATGGAGACGCGTAGTGGCCGCAGCTGAGCCAAACAATGTCTTTTCACATGAGGCTTTTATAGCCCTATTGAGTACTGAAGGTCCGCTTTTACCCTGCCGATCTGCGAATTGCACTCTTCGTTGCGTCTTCATCAATATCGCGACAACTATACTTTGCAATAATATGATGAAAATCAAAATGTTGGTTATTAGTTACAATTACATTAATACAAGAATACCTTGCAATATCTTGCAATGCAATTTACATTTAAATTAATTTTATTAATAAACATTGTATATA